ATTTTTCGTAAGATGAAGCATTCGTATGTAGAGGTACGACTGTATTATCAATTCTTCAACAGAATTACATGAAATTGTACTCTCCCAGGTACTTCTCATACAGTTGGCCCTCTGCATCTCTGGATTTAAACATCCATGGCTTGAAAATATTTAACCCTCCAAAATTCCAAAGAGTAAAGCTTGATTTTGCAATTTAATTTAAAAGACACCATTTTACTATGACATTGTATTTAATAGGACTTGAACATCTATGCATTTTGGTATTCACAAGTGATCCTGGAACCAAACCTCAGAAGACACCAAGGGCCCAATGTATTAGCTTTCTTTCATTACAGTCCTACTCTTTCACCTACTTCTTTGGTTGATAATATTTTAGCAAGATTGGGAAACCTGTAGCCTTTCAGAAGTTCTTGGTTTCCAACTAACAACAGCCCTAACCAACATGGATAATGGCTAGCTTCTTCTTTGCTGTCCTTCCATCAGCAGACAAAGACTTTTTTTTAAAAAAAAAAATTGACAATCTTTTAAAATTAAAGCTTCTATGAAGTACTTTTATGAGGATACAACACTGTATTAATGGCACTGTTCTTAAGTGCTTTTTATTGTTTTAAGTGTCTATTTTACATTATGTTTATACTATTAATAGTTTGATTTTATTTTAATTTTGGGCTTGCTTTGAACTATACTGTGCTTATTTTAATTTGTAAGCTACCTTATTTCTATTTTTCAGGAAAGATGGGGAATAAATGAAGATAAGGAGGAGGAGGAGGAGACTATAGTCCAGCAACATCTGAAGGGCCAAATGTTCCCCAGACTAAGGAGAAATTTCCAGTGATGTAAACTCCAGTCAATTGACTTAGGGGCTTTGCAGATGGTCAGCCATGGACCGCCCCAAGAAGCAGAAGATTGGGGCTGCTGCTAACACATGCAGCGGCCCCAATCCACCCTTCTGCCAACACTGGAAGGAGCGCTAAAATAGCGGTCCTTCCAGAGCAGGCAGAAGGAGTGCCCAAAGAGATGTCCCGCATCTCTTCTGCGTCTCTTCTGGCCCACCGTGTCCAGACGCTGTGCCGGAAGGATCCCATCAGAGTGCTTGCCATGTGCAATGGCAGGTGCTCTGATGACATCCTCAGGAAGGGGTTGGGGCATTTGGCATTCAGCTGCCCCTGCTCTTCTTTGCGTCATCTCCAGAGCCCCTTAGACTCAGGTTGGTTCAGTGATTTGATTTGGACTTAGCTTGGCAATAAATGATGTCCTGACTTGATTCAACTTGCAATTTGTATATTTTAGCAACTGACTTGCTGGTGTCATTCACTTTGAGCAGCAGAAAAGACCTGCCCCCAGAGTGTGAAGCAGATTTATTAGAGGAGAACAGCAAGTGCATTAGGTGATGGTCTAGAGGTGGAAGGATCCTCATAAAACTTTTGAAAAGCTTTAGATGGCTCCTCTGATGTGCCAAGCAGACCTCAAGCCCTGCCTCAAGCCCTTTGTTTAATGTGCTTGTTGTTCCCCTCCAGGAAATGCACCCTGTCAATTTTTTTTCTATTAAAAGTTGGCTCCCAGACTTGAGACTCAACTTGAGACTTGAAAGTATTTTGCAAGGACTTGAGACTCAACTTGAGATGTGAAAGTGAAAACTTGAGACTTGACTTCAGACTTGGAGTACAAGATTTAAATGCATTACTGGAAATTCCACCATTACTTTTAAATTTATAGGTTAATTGAGAGATGATGCAACTCTGCTTTTATCTAACTGTTTGGCCCCATACCCTGCTCTTCTTATCTACCTCTCCTTGCTGTCTAATTATTTACTACACAGAGAATCCTGCTGTTCAATATTGCAAGAAAGTGTAGGATTGATGGTGTGGAAGAGGAAACACTCAGAAGTCCTTGATTGCCTTCTTTATTTCTTTGGCAGCAGGTGTTCACATAAACAGAGATTCCACTGAAATGTGGCAACCTTGCACTTGTGCACATTATCTGATTTCAAAAAAGTATGAACAAGCAAGGGTGAACAGCACATTTTGGAATTTCATGAAAAAAGATATTTGAAGCAGCTTCTTGTAAATGTGTTTGGTCTGATCTGGCAATAGCAAACTGATTGCTGGACTAGGACTAAATCCTTTAGTGTTTCAGTGCATGAAAAATACCCTCTGCTTCTCACTACCTAAGATACTTGCAAAAGACACTTTTCTCTCTCTTTCTCCAAATGAAACTAGATGTTTTTTTCCCCACTCAATGCAATTAGCTGGTTTTTTAACTAATCAGTGGTATTTTAACTGAAAGAAGAACCGTAATTTCTCTGCTTACGGAAGTAGTTTCCTAAGGAAGTTGAACAGATCAAAGAATATTATACCCAAGAAGTTTTAGTTGAGACTGCAGTACAAAGACTTTGGAAAGTTGTTGTTTACATATTGTTGTTTAAAAATAATATTCTCATTAGTTAAATGGAGCAATCAGACATCAGATAATTCAATGCAATTTCTCATCAGTTTCAATGTGAGGCACTAGGAGGATAGATTGCAGAGGTAATGTCAGAGGAGACAATGACATCATGATTTGTTTGCAAATCTTTTCCTTTAGCTTCAATCATTAGCAAAAAAAAAAAAGACATCAGCAATTAGATATGCCAGTGAGTAGCTAACAGTTTATATAAATTAAAACCTGGCCCATTTGTTTAATTATAAGTCACTCTTATTGCCCATGAACCCAATTTTCCCACAAGAAGCCAGCTCAAGGTACACAACCTAATAGGTTTTTACATCTTTTCTTCTGCTTTTAAATTCCAGGGCATGTTGGCCTTTGTGTTGCAGTAAAACATCCACTTTAAGCTAATTCAGATACTGTCACTGCCACCTTAAGAGCCAGTGTGGTGTAGTGGTTTGAACTTTGGACTACAACTCTAGAGATGAAGGTTCGATTCACTACTCAGCCATGGAAACCCACTGGATGACCTTGGGCATGTCACACTCTGAACCACAGAAAACCCCATGATAGGCTCACTTTAAGGTCACTATAAATTGAAAATGGCTTAAAGGTACACAACAACATTGCAGCCTTATACAGTACACCCATCCCTCCACATTTGTAGCTTTGACTTTTGTGGATTTGATTATTCATGGATTTTATTAATATGTTCTCTCTAGGAATGTCTAGGTCCTCCAGCACAACTCTAAGGTCAACTTTAACCCAAAGTCAAACTGAAGGACCTAAAGATTCCTAGAGTGAACCCTCCACTAGACATTTGTAGCTCCTCCAGCACAATTATATGGTCAGTGTCTGGCAGATGTTGACCACAGAGTTGCACTGGAGGACCTAGAGATTCATAGAAAGGTGTTCTCTCAGGTAAAAACACAGTGTTTTTGTTATTTGTGTTTTTTCCACATTCACAGGGGTCCTGTGCCTCTAACTCCAGAGAATGTGGAGGGATGAGCACATGTCTTCTGAGAAGTAAGTCCCGCTATCACTACATAGGACTTTTTCCCAGGTAAGATTGCATAATAGAAATGGGCTACATACAGCCCATGGGCCACATGCAGTCCCTTGCCCCCATTTTATGGTCACACTACACAGAAAAAATATACTTCCACTACTAGTGGAAGGAAATCTTTTCAAAACAATGGGAATCAGGATCCTGAGAGCAGAGATGTCTCACCCAGATATTCATAGAATGAGACAGCAACTTGACAAAGGCCATTGAGTGACATTCAAGATTCATCAGAGGCATGAATCTCATGTCCACCCTCAACATTCCATTACACTTAAAAATCTTATCCTAAATCTGATTTTTTTTTTCAACACTGGAAGTAAATGCTAGTCCCTCCTAGTTTTATTTTCAAAAAGGCATCTTCTAGACCAAAAACTGGGGAAGTTGGGGTGGAGAGAGATTATCGCCCTCTGAGATCTGGTGTGGGTATATGTAGCCCACAAACCTCAGAGAGTTAGGCAAAGGTGATATACATTTTTACTCAGAAGTAAGTACCCTGAGTTTTAGTGGAATTACTTATAAACTTGTTGTGGCTTTATGAATGCACAACTCTCACTTTTAAAAAAGTTGGGTTCATAGTATTTATGTATTTATTTATTTATTTATATTCTGTTTCATTTACATGTTGCCTTTCTCCCAGAGTGGGACCCAAAGCAGCTTCCAGATATAGTAAATTTTAAAAGGTTTACAATAAAATTTAAAAACAATTAAAATCACTTTACAAAACACATTAAAGCATTTTTAATCACTAAAAGTTTAATAAATAAAACATCCCAAATAAAAACCCTCTCCCACACTACCTATACATTAAAAGCCTATTATAACAATAATGTTTTTCCCTGCCAGTGAAAAGAAAGCAGGGATAGGGGCCAGCCTAGCCTCCCATGGAAGGCAGTTTCAGAGAGTGGGAGCTGCCACTGAGAATGTTCTCTCTCATATCCTCACCAAGTGAACCTATGATGGTGGCAGGATAGAAGGAAAGCCTTCCCCTGTAGAACTTAGGATCTTTGCATGCTTGCATGAGGAGATATGTTATTTCAGAGAGTCTAGTCTTAAGCTGTGTAAGGCTTTATAGGATATGACCAGCACTTTGAATTGTGCCTGGAAATGAACCAGTAGCCAGTGGAGCTGTTTCAACAAGGGAGTTATATGCTTCCTATAACTGGCCTCATTCAGCATTCTGACCACAGCATTTTGGACCTACTGACATTTCTGAACAGTTTCTAAAGGTAGCCCCAGTAATCACTAGCCAGATCCATAGCCGGATCTCTCATCTCAAGGAACAGGCACAGCTGGCACACTAGTTTTAGCTATGAAAATGCACTCCTGGCCATTGCTGAACCATGGGGATCCAGGCACAGCGTTGAGTCCAGAACACCCAAGCTGTGAGCCTGACATTACATGGGAAGTGTAACCTTGGCCAGCACACATGGAACCCTTATTCCCTGATCTGCCTTATGGCTGACCAGAAGCACCTCTGTCTTGTCTGAATTAAGTTTTGATTTAATAATAATATAATAATAATAAATTTTATTTCTAGCCCGCCCCTCTGCGGAGCAA